TTCTTATAAATTAACAGAAATATTAAAACTTTGGGATTTTCTTCGCACGACACTAGTATTCCCTATGCTCAAATGAAAGATCGACTGATTATATTATGAAAATTCGTACTAATTGCACCGAAGATGATATTATCAAAATGCTGCATTTTTTTTATCGTTAACATTTTTGTTGAGTTTGTTAGACTGATATTTCCACAGCCAGTCGGTACCCCGGTTGGTACTTATTGTACAAATTATACTACCCTACTGCATCAGTAATAGTTTCGGTTTGTTCAAATTGACCGTAAGGACGATTAACTATGGTAACGGCATGCATGATGTCACCAATCTTTACTCTAATTAGACGAAATTACGGCATTGAACAAAAACCAACAAAAAAAGAAATATGCTACAAAAAAGGAAAACATTACGGGCATGAAATCAAACTTAAATATGAAATTATCCAGATAAATAAGGTAAAGAAGGTGTCATTATCACCACTGTCAAATAGTTTGGATTTTGTATACATGAGCAGGTAAATATCAGACAGGTTCATTAGATCTACAACTGAAGCTAATGCTGGTCCTCAGCGGTATTATCAATCAAATTATTGGTTTATCGAGGAATCGGTTCGCTTATCTACATTTGTATCGAGTAACATAGGAGAGAAAGATGCCTTTTGATCGAATGAGAGAGGAGAAAGGTACCAAAGGGATATTCAAACTCATAAGTCGAAAAACAAACTGACAATGCCATGGCTAAAAACAAACTGACAATGCCATGCAAAAAATGAAAAACGATAAAAAGACAAACAGTATACAGAACACAACAGAAAACTAAAGACTGAGACGTTGCGCACGATGTTGGTACGAATTCCATTTTGCTATAGATTAGCATAAAAATAAATACGTAGATTGGTCAGTTCGATAAAAATATAGTGATTTCTGATTGAATTCATTACATTAGACTTGAAATTAAAGAAAAAAAGGAACCGAAATTTAAAATACCAGGAATTATAACACTTAATTATCCCATTTTTACGCAAAAACGTAATGTCCAACGTTTCATTTTGTGTGCAAAAGATCAGAGTTCCGTTTCTTTCCTACGGTATTTTTTCTCAGATCATCGTAAAACTTCACAAGAGTATTGCTATTGTTATAGATATTCGCGTGTTAAAGCAAAATCAATATCACTGAAACCGTAATCCGGAAAATGTTATTTTTTAAAACGGTCTGAAAAATGTCCAAGCATATGCAAGGTAAGTATATTTCGGGTTTGCGCATTTATACTGTGAAATTGAAAAAGCTGACAGGAAAAATATTTATTATATTTTGAAAGTTTTTTTACTTTTCTCCTGGTTCATGATATTATTTTGCCGGAAACCATGCGTATAGTTTCTATTGCAATGACTTCAAAAAGTATAGCCATCTTGTCCCAACGAAAATAACGCTGTATTTTCTTTAAAATTGAGGTTTTAACCAGCTGTCTATCAAATAAGCATAGTTAGATCATAGAAAATAAAACTTGGCGGTAAAGGTTTTTTGTTTTTCTTTTTAAACAATATAGTGTTTAATATTTTTTCTTTGGGCATTAAGGTTTTAAGTTCGTTTCAAAAAGTATAGCCGTTTTGTCCCAACGTTCGCAAAACGTAATTGATGTCATGTTCGGGTTTTTAATTTTATATCGTAATTATTTGTTTCCAGTTTAATTCGAATGAAAATAAAAATAAATGTATAATTTACAATACAACCAATGTATGAGAAAGGAGTAGTTTAAGTTTAAATTCAAATATTGACCATATGAGATTGATATAAAAAAAAATATCGGGATCTTAGTTTTTTTTTATAGCATATTTGTTTTATATAAGAAACATTGTCTATCTGCAAGTGTTAAATCGTCAAAAGTAACATGTATACTTTTTTTTTATAAAATAAAAGAGAAAAACCATTGCTGGCAATTATAACAAACAAAGGATATGCATAAGCCACAAAAAAAAAACGGAATTGAGAAATGAATCTCGAATGTTTAACTTCCTAGATATTTTGCGACAAAGAAAGCATCGGGAAATGATAAAATATAGAAAGGAAACGGAAACGGAAACGGGAAGAAATGCAACAACAGGAGTATGTACAAATGTATAAATATGCAAAAAATAGGAGAATATTTATTTAAAATCTAATTTATATTAAAAATAAATCTGTGTAAATTTGGAAATTAATGTATCGGATTCATTAATGCGAACTGCTGCCGAAAGGAAAAATATCAATTATGGCCTGGAAAGACTGACAACTCCTGTAAATGAATATTCATTTAAAAAAAAAAAATCTATACGACCGCTTTGAGTTTTATTTGTAAAATTATGCATTTTTTCGGACAAACCGAAATCAGGTACCAAATTCACAACTGTTACAGTAAATTGACCTCATCAATAATATGCTTGAACGCCTAAAACTTTCTTTGAAATCGTCGAAATCGCCTTATTTTAAGGAACGTCGTGAAACGCTAAGTAGTACCAACATCGTGCACAACGTCACAGCAACACGTACGCCACCAAAAAACCGGGGGTGATATCAGGTGTTCCGGAATGGTAAGCTGATCCCACTCCACATGTTGCACCCGTCTTGTTGCTCATGTCAGTACAAACTCGGTGATAAGTAGGTCACATTCGAGTAAAAGAGGACTGACACGCTTTTTCACAAGGTAACAGTGTGCAGAAAACATTTTCATCCGTTCTATCAAGCTTTTCGTTTGTTTTTCTTTGCATTGTTGTGATGTTGCCGAGGGAAGCACCAGCAGTCATAAATGTTGAATTTATTGAGCAATAAAATATAATTTTGGAATGCCTCGGGATTGTTGTCAGCCAATCAAAAGTACGGATTCTTATGAAACATACATGTAATGTTATTATTCCAAAATGCCATGTGCTAGGTGAAAAAGCAGCAAATACCATTGTTGGTGTCTTTAGTTCGGGGATGCAGCAAACAACTTCCCACAAAAGAGGCAAGCACATTACCCCAAGACTATAGAGGTGATTTTTATTTATTATAGTTTAAAAATTCAGAATAATAAATAAATGCAAATATTAACGGCCAACTTGATGCAATAACAGTTCAATAACGTAAAAGTAAATTAATTTGATGCCGATTTATCACTTTATAATAAGAATTGTAAAATTATTGAATCTGATGGTTTCGAGCCTGCATTTGTAGCAGATGAAGGTCTCGTGCTTGCCTGATGAAAGTTACATGACGTGCAAACTGTATCACTACTATTATTCGGTCGTTGCTGTTGCTTATGGATTGTCAGGCTACGTGGGCTTCGATATATCAAAGATTAAATAAGTTATTTTGATTGTAAATTACATGTATCTGTTGATAAATTACGTAAATATATTAAAAGTGATGTTGCAACTTCGTCAAGCATAATTAGTGAAACTAGTTTAGCTGCTCTGTTTAAGTCCTTTTAACTATGATGTCTTTACATGTTTCACACATTTGGACACTCAAAGTTTGATCTGAACACATGCACCTGATAGGTTATCGCAAATACTGAAATTGAAAATGAATTCGCTTATTTCAGATTAAATTTTGGATCATACAACATACAAACAAATATTTGTGTGTGTGTGTGTATGTGTGTATTTGAAATGTTTGCCACTTGACGAGAAGCAAACAATTATTTAAAATCAATTTTGTCTATGTGTGTTCGTGTTTTTTTTACAAAACACTAAGCTTTTATATATAATTATTTATCCCTTGTAATTTTTTATTAACTGTGTATTTGCATTCAGGTGTCACAGGTCAAATTTATTCGTTCATTGTGTGTTAATTTACGTTTTTTGATTGAGTTAAGCCTTCCAATTGATATTTTATAGTGTGTTTTTCTATGTTGTGATGTTATACTATTGTTTCAGAAAAGGGAGAAGGTTTGGTACCATTAAAACGTTTAATCCCGCTGCAAATGTTTGCACCTGTCCTAAGTCAGGAATCTGATTACAGTAGTTGTCGTCTGTTTATGTAGTTCATACGTGTTACTCGTTTCTCGTTTTTATATAGATTAGACCGTTGGTTTTTCCGTTTGAATGGTTTTACACTAGTAATTTTTTGGGGGCCCTTTATAGCTTGCTGTTCTGTGTGAGCCAATGCTCCGTGTTGAAGGCCGTACCTTGACCTATAATGGTTTACTTTTATAAATTGTAACTTGGATGGAGAGTTGTCTCATTGGCACTCATACCACATCTTCCTATATCTAATTGATAGTTGTGTTAACTTTACACTGGCTTTTAAATTGAGGTCTTGTAAAGTGCACGGTGGCTCTGAAAATGCTGACAGGGATAATAAAAGCAATTTCATTGGAATTCCAAGAACACTGAGCTTTAATTCCTGCAGATAAAACAAGCCATATATTATTACAAGAACAGACAAATAAATTTTTTAAGACAAATCTATGGATTTAAAATTGAAGATTTTATCATTTTAAGATAAAAAGAACATTTTTCGTCGATTTTATGTGCTTTCTATACAAATGTTCACATATTTTGAAAGAATCCAATCGTTAGTATTTCAGGCAATTAAAGATGTAAATGCATTATTTTTTTCGATTTTCAGTTGTAGTTTAACATGTTTAACAAACTGAAGTTGTATGCAAAAGTTTACCAAAATCTGTGACATAGCCCATTTACTGTGACTTGACCTTACTGCCTAACGTACTCGTGTTCTGTGACTTGTGTATAGATTTATCATTTTTTTTTGTGCTGCATTAATAAGATAGTTACAATATATTATTTAATTTATATTGATCTAACGAAAAAACGTATTTATGCAAAAAACTGTTAACATTATATTACACGTACAATAGCTTATATATTTCTTTATTTTTCACCGCTGTTTTTGTTTATCACGTACTTATTGCAGATATGACAGAGTGACCATGACTGTTGGATGTTAAGTTCACGTTATCTGTTATTAAATATTTATATAACACCACATCATATCACTTTGATACGTAACACTAGTTACACAACATCCAGACATTATAAAACGTCTCAAACAATCGTTTCCTTCATTAAACCTACAGACAATCCCTAACAATGGTCCACACAGCAATATTGTTTGTTTCATTGATTTGTAAAATACAGACCTTTTCTGTTATGTCCGAACCAGATCCAGGATTTGATACATTTTTCACAACCAACTTGGAAGAGATGCTGGATGTACCTATTCATTTTGATAAACCGTTACCATCATGGCTACGAGGTACTCTGGTAAGATATTTCATTTTTTATAATGTGAAGAAGTAAACAAGTAAACTAGAAGTCCATAAAGACTTTTTCAACCAGGATAGGGGTTTCATCAGTTGTGGAAAATCCTATAAAAAACGAATTAAGAATTAAGAAATGATGAAAGGTCTGCGATAAAAGCATAGGTATTTTGTGGATTTTCATTATTCAATGAATGTTTGCAAAATCTCTTTTTCAAATTGTCTCCCGTTTATTCTTGAACATAATCGTTTATTTCAATGAAGAGCATTAATAAAAAAAATTTCAATACGACTTATTAAATAAATAGATATTATGCATTTAGTAGTAAGACGTGGTGAGAGTCACTATTCCGTAGTAGGCTTAAAAAAAGAAATATTTTGTAATAATTTTCAAAACAAATGAAGGGTAGTTTAAGCCACAGTACTTTGCACTCTAGTATTTTCAGTGTTGCATACGTGCAGTTCATGCTGCTACAAAACTTGCACATTCTGGCTTTCAAAATAACTTTTAATTAGCAGGGTTACAAAAAACATATAGGATAGGAAATTTTACCGCATTCCTATTCTATTCAAAAATCAATATAACACAGAAAATTTACAACTAAGACTTCAAATAGACAGTTTGTTATATAAAGGTGAAAATATTGCTAGAGATACAAATTTAATCAAAGTACTGAAGTACTGAACATCGGATGACTGCAAGTTCTTGTGGATGGTCACAAGCACTTGTCTCAGAAAAAAAAATCACATCTCTATACCTGAAAGTGAGGTTAATGTACACATATATTTTTTTTTTCTTAGACAAGTTCGTGCGTGGATGATAAATAAATGACAGGGAATTCAACCTCACCGTAATAAATATGATATTGAAGTGATACAAATCAGTATACTCTGGTTTTTTTGTTATATATTTGTATATTACAGTTACATGTATATATAATTTTCATCCATTTGTATATCATTCTATTCTACTATATTAATAATAGTGCAGTGCAAGTGCATGGTGGACACTCTTCTGTAATAATTCGATTTTTCTAATAGATTGGATTTGAGTAGGCATTCATATTTTCCCGCCAAACTTTCAATCTCCCATGCAGAGTTATCGGTCCTTGAGAGAGAGCGAGGACCAAAAACTCTGCACGGGAGATTGCAAACGTTCTTGAGATATTCTTCCACATGCGTTAACAAACATTTTCTGTACGTGTGCATAGATATTAAAGATTTTTTACTTATATATATATTTCTAACGACAAAACATTTTCATATCATTAGTTTATGTTCTAAAAAAAATATAATTAGGAGTATCCATTGAAAAAATTAATTTATAACAAGCGATAAGGAATGTTATTTTGCACTCGATAATGTCCGCGTATTTATCATGTTTATAGATCGGTTACAATTCCAACACGAAAGTTACGTAATGGAAATCGAGGCGACAGCAATACACCGGAATGCCCTCACGGTCATCCGATGTAAAAAGCGCTTAAACTAAATGATTTTATTCTAACAATTCTATTATCAACGAGAACTGGATTTCTTATTTAAAACTTGATTTTTAACTTAAAATCGTGACAGCGAAAAAATCAACAACGGCTAGTTTATTGCACGGCAAAATTTCTTACCCTAACTACATGTACAAATGTAACATATATATATGTCTTTGTCAAGTGGCAGTTCAATTTTTGGCCTATCCCTCCTGACTGTTAAAAGTACTAATTAGTTATTTTATTGTATAAATACATGTAGCAGACAAGTTGGAACTCGTCCTGGATATGTATGGAATATTTGTCACTGGACGTTTAGCACACAACAATCAAATCGGTAACTGCTAGTTTTTGTATAAGCAGAAGGACTAGAATAGAAATAAAATCGTTCGTGTGACCCTTCATATACATACAGGAATGAAAGTTTTCTCTAATCAAACCCTTTGATCAGATTCTGTAATGAGAAAAGTCGTTTTTAGAATGGAGACTTGTTAAATTGTTAATATTTCACACAGTTCACTACAATATCGTCTTTTTTCTTTGAAATAAGGTTTACTCTTACCAAAACTTTGGATAATTTTTATCATAAACAAATTAGAAATAGAGAACATTGCTTTGAAAGGGTTCTCGGTCTTTCGAGATATCTAAAAATGTTTCCAGTGACACATTTACTGCTGTTCTATAAATTTTTAAGGATTTACATATGACAGATGTGTATTTCAATTCAAACATCCAAATTATAATACAGACTATTATTTAAATTGAACCTCTCAATTAAGACCGGATTGAAATGCTACATCTGGATTCCTAACAAAATATCTTACGGGTTTCATTCAACTACAAGTATACTGAATATTTCATATTATATGTACAATGTATTGAACAGTTATAAGCTCGAAATTGGAATTGAATTTTGACAAAAATACCGATACAAACATATTCAATGCACAGAAAGAAAACATATAATACTGTGCATTGTCAGGCATGCAAATGTATTTGACTTTTGTTTATGCTTGCAGATCAGGAACGGATTAGGGATGTTTGAACTTGGGCGTCGAAATTTTACCCATTCCTTTGACGCCTTTGGTAAATTATCCAGTTGGAAGTTTTATGGTAATGGATCAGCATCGTTTAGTACGAACTTTATAAAATCCGATTTTTATAAGGACTCTATTGATAGAGATGATATAGCTCCGTATTTAATGTTTGAATCAGTCAAACCACCGTTCAATGAATTTCAGAAAATGGAGGCACTAATAAGGGGTATAGATAATATGAATGTTAACGTCTATAGATTTTTCAATCGACAGGGGAATAGTTACGAGTATGTGGTTCTTAATGATTTTTGGAAAATTTATCAAATCAACCCGGAAAGTCTAGATACGATTTCATCAGTTACTGCAGATCTACCACATAAAGGTCACTCGGGAAGTTACACTTTCTTAAGTTTTCTGTCTACAGCGCATCCTCTTCCAGAATATGGAACATCGAATCATTTCACTTTTGTTAGCAGCGTCAGCCTAATTCCAGGAATCAAAAGTAGGATTTCATTGATACGTATAAAATCAATGGAAGAAAGAGAGGAAGTTACTTCGTGGCCAGTAGATCGAGTCCCATATATGCACTCGTTTTCGGTAACTAAAAACTATGTTATCATATTTGCTGCACCATTTTTTGTTAATGTTATGAATATGATCCGATATGCAGCTCCAATAAAAGGTTTAGATTGGAAATCAAATGAACCAACAACCGTATATGTCATTAATTTAAAAACAAGGGCTGTGACATCTCTGAAAACAGCCAATGTATTCACTATGCATCATGTTAATGCTTTTGAAAGTGGAAGTGAAATAATCGTTGACATTTCATCATATCCTAATCCCAACTTTGTTAAAAATTTGGAGGTTTCTATTCTTAAGGATCCGATTAAACGGAATGTATTTGATGCGCATGCTTATTTAAGAAGATATATAATAAATTTGTCAAAAGAGAGTATCATTTTTGAACCAATACAGGGATCGAAAACGGTACCGTTCTCTAACAATTTAGACTTGCCTACAATTAATGAGCGTTACAGATATAAAGAATACTGTTTTGTATATGGCGTAGTACTGAAAATAGACAATGTTACTCTCAGTAGAGAGGCAATTGTAAAGAAAGATTTATGCAGCAATGACAATGATAAATATTGGTATGTTGAAAACCATTATGCTTCAGAAGCTGTGTTTATTCCGTCACCGACTGAAAAGACAGAAGACGATGGGTATTTGTTGGTGCCAATTCTTGATGGTTATCGGAAGAAAAGTTACATTGCAATCATTGACGCAGTTTCTATGGAAATTATTAACAAAGCTAATTTGCCAACATACGTTCCTTTTAATCTACATGGTAAATATTTTGATGGTGCTTTGTAACAAACAAAAATGTGGTAAAATATATGACGAACAAAAGCACTTCGAACAGTCTTATGTAAGGTTGAACAGGGTTCCGATGAAGAATTGCGGATTTTCCGTTACCATATCATGCTTTATCAATTAATCCTAGTATGAGTGCCCTGTCATGACCGGTCAACAATCTTTATCCATTATACAGCCAGGGACACGAGAATGATAAAGATAACCGACATCAACAAGTTGTGTAACAACATTTAATACGTAATATATATTTGTAAACCTATTTGTTTTTGTGAGATCTGAATCTGAATGACCTTTAATATCAAAAGCATAATGTATTTCATAGCGAGGAGTCTGTGCTTAAGTTGAGTGTTGGTATGATATAAAAAAATTTCAAAGAGTCTATACTAGTTTTTTTTCTCTTACAGGATGTTCAAATTTTCATATTTTCAACTTTTCCTTATTATTTTTTTTTCTAAATACATCTAATGTACACCTTTGATAAAGCATATGATTGTTTGTAATTTTCTATTTATTTCGTATATTTCATTAGAAAAAAACTGATGTGTCTTTTCAACCAAAATTTCGACATTTTCATAGATGTTTGAGTGTATGGGAATATCTGAAAGCAGGATGAAATAATAGAGCATTACATTATTACAAAGCAAAATAACAAATTTAATGTACATATGATAGTCTGACATACTAAAAGAATGTTAACAGTATACAGTATGGTATACAGTGTATGTTCGTTATTCAAAGACATTTGCTTACCAAATACTATATATGAGATTGCAACCTTTGTCACATATAATGAGAGGAAGATCCCTTTTGATGTTGAGGTCGCTCAGTCAAGGGTCAATGTCGTAGTTACTGTACATAGACTGAAATTTGTGCTGAAAAAAGTGGTTTCGAATGATAAATCAAAACTTACTGTGGCCAAATTACATTAAAGAGTTGGTAGTCAATACTTAATCTTTTTAATGATCTTTCATCTTGATAAGTGTGACAGTTTATACGGTACATGGGATGCACAGTAGAGTTGCAATAACATTGATAAGTCTATCAAAATATTCTAAGACCATAAAGCAATGTGTAGTCTAAATTAAGAACATATGTTAAGAGCACTTGTGAGAAACTTTATATTGGTCAGTAAGTTGTATGCACGAATATTAATTGGAAAGTATAATTGTGAACACTTTATATATATTAAACATGTACTCTATTATAAAGATCTATAAATATTAAACATGTGAACATTAAATAGGCTTATAGACAGTAGTGAGCTTATGGAGAACATTACATTATAACTGGTTTCCTATGCTAACGGGTGAATTATGGATTAATCGATCAGATACATAGATCAGAAAAATGACAAGTTACAAGGTACACAGAATAAAGACCCATTACATCACATACGGGATTACTTTGGTATATGATCACATACAAAAAAGGAAGAACCCCGTTGATTTAGACGTCAATACCTCAAATGTCAAGGTCATAGTTATTTTAAAAGATCGAAATTTTTGCAGAAAAGTGGTTTCTGGATTCTAAATCAAAAACTAAATTTAGAGGAAGAGCTCTATTGATTTTGAGATACGTCTAAGGTCAAGGTTACTAAAAATAGGCAGGAATTCAACCCAGATAAAATGGAATAATATTTTACCAAAGTGCTAAGATCCCATAGAATTTTTTTCTTTTAATGGAAGATAAATATCTAGCACATTAAGTCATAATCAGTGATGGGTAATTCTTTTAAGGACACAAATTGGAACGAGCACGTAGCAAATGTTGCTTATAGTATAACCAAACATTTATGAGTTTAAAGAAAATTGAAATTTTAGATGAACAAAAGAGAACTTAGAGAATATACACTAGTATCTGGTCTATTTTCGTCCAAGCTTATCACAAACAAATCAAAAAGATCCCTCGCTGTATAATCAATATGAATATAATAAACATGTTCACTGTGTCCACATACTGTAATCCAAATGTATTGTTTTTCTTTTTCTCTCACATTGTCTTTAATTGTCTCTATTATGTATATATTGAAAGTTATGTCTCTATTATTTATATATTGAAAATTATGTCTCTGTTATGTATATATCGAAATTATATCTACACAACTGTGCATGCTCTTTTTCCACATGTGGAGCAGGATCTGCTTACCCTTCCGGTGCACCTGAGATCACCCCCAGTTTTTGGTGGGGTTCGAGTTGCTCAGTCTTTAGTTTTCTATGTTGTGTTTTGTGTTTTGTGTACTGTCGTTTGTCTGTTTGTCTTTTTGTTTTAGCCACGGACATTCAAACTCAAAGTCGACTCAAGTCGAAAATAAAATGACAACGCCATGGCTAAAAAAGAAAAAGACAAACAGACAAACAACAGTACACAAAACATAACATAGAAAACTAAAGACTGAGCAACAAAAACCCCACCAAAAACTGGCGGTTGATTTCAGGTGCTCCGGAAGGGTAAGCAGATCCTGCTCCACATGTCGTGTTGCTCGTGTAAGTACTAACCCAGTGATATAAAAGTTTTCAAGTTCAAACGCAATACAGCAAAAAAATAAGGGCATTAACTGCCATAAAGAGCCAAGAAGACATTCCAGCATTATCGACTTATTTGTAAATACTGTCTTGGTGATCATTTTGCTACTATAGTTTTCAACATAATATTCAAACACACACAAAATTGATAAAAATCTAAGGGCCTTTACTCCTATAAGGAGTCCATTTGTAGATCTTGTCTTGTTGATATTTTTTGACATTTAAATTTTCTATCTATTATAGTTTTCAAGATAATGGACATCATAATCGTAAAAATCGTCATTAAATTATCTATTATAATTTTTAAGATAATAGGCAAAATTAAAAAATGGTAAAATAAGTCATTTAAGGGCAAAAAATCATAAAAAAAAATCCTCTGATAGTTTTGATGTCATCTGACAGAAGGTAGATCTAAAGATTCTGAATATTTCTACCCCTGTCTATCCTAGCGGTTTTCAAAATAATAGACAAAACTTGCAGTTTACCCCTAAGTTCTATATGTAGCAATGGCAGGCGGGGCCGTCGGACACAAATTTTAAACTAGATACCCCAATGATGATTTTTGCCAACTTTGGTTTCTATTTGGCTCAGCAGTTTCAGATGATAATTTTTTTTAAAGTTAACAGACGACGATGGACAACGGACGACGGATGCCAAGCGATGAGAAAAGCTGACTTGATCCTTCGGGTCAGATGAGTTAAAAATGGGTATTAAATCAGTAGCAAAAAAAACCCAGCTATGTAGATTGATTGATTGATTGGTATTTAACGCCACTTTCAACATTATTGTGCTATTTCGTGGCGGTCAGTTTTTATTGGTAGAGGAAGCCGGAGTACCCGGAGAGAACCACCGACCTGCCTCGTAAGGGATTGGAACTCACAACCCCAGTGATGACAGGCTAGTGATACAGTAGTTCGACTACTTAGACCACTCGGTCACCGAGGCCCTAACAGCTATGTAGAAAAACATGCCCAAAGATACACTTAGGCGTAAAAATATTTCGTCAAATATGACAGTTAAAAGTCCCATAACTCTGGAATGACAGACAATTTTTTTTTCAAAATCAAAAGCGAGCCTACATTTACCAAGCCAAACAACAGTTCTAATTAGCTTGTAGTAATTTGATTCAAGCATACTAGATATTTGAAATGCAATTTATTTATCTGAGGGTCAAAGTCCCATTACTCTAGAATGACATATCGGAATTAATTGTAATCGAAGTAAAACTATGTGATATGTTCACAAAATGAATCAAGTAAACTCAAGTTATGTTAAAGTATCGTAAATATCGAACGACAAAGCCCAACATTTTCAAAATCGAAGAGCTTTCTTCTGTCAATCCTAAGGTTGTGTTAAAATTACATGATAATTGGTTAATTTAAAGCTTTGAGTTATCATACGAAGTGTTGACGGACGGAGTATGGTATACCGTAATACGTCACGTCTTTGACGAGCGCTCATATAAATTCTAGAAACGCGCATGTACAATGAAGTTTTATTACAATTTATGACTTACCAACATACTGTTTACCACATTTACGCTGTACTTATTACACAGTACTTGTAGTCCAGTAAGTAATCACTGTACAAGTATCAGTCGATTTACTGTATGCATTATTTGCTTACAAGTCAGACATCGTTTGTTCCCACAATCCGTGTAAGAGCCTACTGACAAACATACTGGCATAGAGGATAAATCAGACATCATCAACAATTCTTTAAGGCTTTATTGGCCCAATGAAAGACAGCATGGGCGTTGTCTGGAAAGATCTTGGGTATTTTAGGATGTTTTATGATTTCTTTCCAATTTTCGCGGATAATGGTGTGACATTTTGACAGGATGGTAGGTCATCAAAATTAAATACATATATAATATATATATATGTAGGACTCTGAACCACGTTAGTCTAGCTGAAGTGAGATGGTGGCATTGTGATATCTTGTTTATAGCTACGCCGAAGTGCGTTGGTGGTAACGCTGAAGTGCGAGAGATTATATACTATTTTTTCAATGTTTTTCATGTTCAAATGTCGAAGAAGTCATTTTTTTGTCATGGTAATAGTTTAAAATGCAAATAACTATACTTAAGTAGTCAAAACGAAACAAATTAAGCAACACATCCATTAGGGTGCTGTGCATGAAATCAAGGAATAAGATAGATCACAGTAGATGGTTTTTACTGCAACTAGATAAAAAATGGCTTGATTGGTATTTATATACTTACTAATAAAAACCTTTAATAAACATTGCACATCTGTATATTTTTAACTAGCTATCACGTGTTATATAGACCATCGCACATCATCGAAAGGACCATCAGACTTCGGCGCAGACTATCGCACCTCAGCGTCGACATCGCCCCGTGATTCCTACATAAATATATACTATCAGTCAAATTCAATCCTAGTCAGTTAAACATTTCTCAAGCTTCATGCATGATTAAGTTTCCGTTGCCTTGAAAATAAACGTATAGCATTGTTAGCTTAGTGATATTTCAATATACTTGACTGAATAAATCCAAGAAAACATTTATATACAAACCTTTTTACAATTGAGAAAAAATAATATCTGTACAAATGAAGGAAATAAAGTAGAAAATCTTACTGGTATTGATAATTACCATATTATTTCCTATGTAAAATGAAAGAGGCTTAAGTATTGAATAAGTAAGTAAATTGGTTTTCCTGGTATACAAACAGCTGTTCCACTGTTATGTGTAATTGTTTAAAAATTAGTTCATTTTTTCTGGGACTATTACACTAACATAATTATATATTAGTCCTAGATATTTTGTATCAGGTAAGTTTTTTTCATAATTGAAATATTGTTTTATCTTTTAATAATTATTGCAATAGGGAAAGAAAAATATGAAGAAAAAAATTGAAATTTATATGATTTCCTTCAATCGTTTAAAGTAATATGTATTCATTTACTGCACATAACAGTAACTAAATTTTGACTTGTTGGATTTGATAAAAGAGGTTGTAAATCAGCTTATTATGGACAACATATGACTTCGGTAGGGACTTTGTCATTACAAGATCAAATTTAACCAATAACACCTCATTTGTAAGTATGATTCAAGTTAATCCATGTAATGTAGTCTTTGAAACACTCAACATTACATTGTTTAAGTTTGTTATCGTCCCAATACAGACCCATAGCTATCTATAGTTATCAACAGGCAGTGGCTATCCTTACGACCAGCCGGGAAAATAGCAAAAAGCAAAAAAAATCTATTTTTTTTGCGGCTAGCCGGAAAAGATTTTTATTCTTCCGGATGCATTTTTATACTATTTTGCTAATTTCCGGCCATAAATTACAATGCATGAAGATTTTTGTTGGTAACTGGTTTTTGAAGCATATAGTGGTGAGAAAAACAGAATATAACCATATAATTTCTCATTTAATATAGCAAGCGATAAGTATTTTTGTGTAGAATTGATTTTAAATGTTGCTATGGGAACAGGTTTCTTACGTACCATCTTCAATTAATTTCTCTACTGTCTGTGTACTTCTTTTGGTACACGCCGATTCTCCGTATACACTAACCTCCGTATACACTGGCATCCGTATACACAAACAGCTAGTCAAGAGAGATCAAGGAAAAGAATATCAACAGCATCGTTTGGTATGCAGCGAAAACACTTTTGAATTTAAGTCATTCGGCAAAATATTGCGCCGAAAAGTTTCCTTTAACACAAACAAATATAAAGGCAAATGCATTTACTTCATAAACGATATACCCTTCATCAGGTACCCTCGAGATAAAAAGTTTAAATGGCTAAAATGTGAAAGGCTCGACAGGAAAGAAACCAAGAAAAGAGATTTGGGTTATAGAACAGCCTTTATGAACTGAAAATTTACAAACGATAAGTATCTTTTAAATAATGCAAATACCGAAGCACTGGCAATTTAAAAATACGTATAAATGTGATGCCGTCTTACTGAAAATAACACAATCTTAGGGGTGATATTTTCATATACTATCCGTTTAGGCTTACAACAGGCCAAACATATATCTATAAGTTACATCGAAATTTTAATAAAATCAATGACCCTCAAAACATAGGGATACAAACCGGTGGCAAAAGCAATTGAATGTGTAGTAGTAGTATCCGAGGATATCATCAGTCTGTAGTTATTTCTTCGGTACCGACTTGATTTTTTTGCAACATGCCACCTATAAGAACCCTTATAGATGTTATAAGGGTTACATCTATAAGGGTTATTCAACTTGCTGAGAGCGTGACATTCTCTTAATCCACAATGAATTGAATTTAGCGTAACCATTCAGACGGGACGTGACAGCGTATTTATACATTCCACAAAAGCCGAAAGGACCTCCCCTTTTAACATCGGTTATACTGTCGGATGGGTAAACTCCAGGTGACCGTATTTCTAAATCCGAGCCAATAAGTGTGTTTTTAAAATTAAATATGAATAGAAAAACAGAAAACAAAATGAAGAAAATGCTTATGATATGGGAAAAGGGAAATTTACAATAAGATCCGACAATCTATGCTACAACTCTCGATATTTTCCCAGTCTGAACATCAGCACATCATGGTTTCTGGTTTTATAATCATTTATTTTTTATCTCGGTGTCACGTTTGTCGAGGAAACATAACTAATAGCAGGTTACAGTTGTATCATACTTTAACTTTGTTTTAACCTGTTTATTTACTTTTGACCTTAATTATTTATCCCTTATAATTTTTATTAACTATGTATTTGCATTCAGGTATCACAGATCAAATTTATTCGTTCATTGTGTGTTAATTTACGTTTTTTGATTGAGTTAAGCCTTCTAATTGATATTTTATAGTGTGTCTTTCTATGTTGTGATGTTATACTATTGTTTAAGAAAAGGGAGAAGGTTTGGTACCATTAAAACGTTTAATCCCGCTGCAAATGTTTGCACCTGTCCTAAGTCAGGAATCTGATGTACAGTAGTTGTCGTTTGTTTATGTAGTTCATACGTGTTTCTCGTTTCTCGTTTTTATATAGATTAGACCGTTGGTTTTCCCGTTTGAATGGTTTTACACTAGTAATTTTTGGGGCCCTTTATAGCTTGCTGTTCGGTGTGAGCCAATGCTCCGTGTTGAAGGCCGTACCTTGACCTATAATGGTTTACTTTTATAAATTGTTACTTGAATGGAGAGTTGTCTCATTGGCATTCATACCACATCTTCCTATATCTATTAGCCTTTTAATCAATGTTTAACGTTCATTGAGCCAGTTTATATTAATATTCACACATTCTCCAGCTTAGATATTTACCTCTGGAAATTAGTCGGCACATAGAAAGACGTATACGTAAATGTTACAGCATCACACAAGGAAAAACCGATTTACGTAAGATCAAATACCTAAATAAATTAATTTGAAAGAAATAATTGAATGCCTGTCATCAATATGAAAGTTTTCAATGGACATGCCGATTGAACAAAAGTACTAATTTCAACACAAACAACAAAGAAAAGCACTAAACGATGAGGTCCTGATTTTGAGGGGGAAACATATAACCACGTGGCGCTAGTTTTGTTACATGACGTATCTTCAAAACATTGCTGATGTTAGACTTTGAACTTCCGGTAGTAAGTTCACACCTCAAGTCTCATTCCTTTCGTTGTATTTGGGAGACCTAAAATTATTCTGTCATCAATCGTCTGGTGTCGTCCGTTTCTTCTTTAGAAACGTTTTAGATGCAAACGTGAAAAGTAATCATTACAAATGCAGATGCCAGGCCACAAAATCCATATTTATTCAACAATTTTTTTAATTTTTACAGCAATCTAGGTTTATCGAGTTCCCGAGCCAATATATATATACTGAATTGTACATGTATCACCTTTCTATATACCGCCAATTATTTGATGTAGGACAGAAAGTAGAAGGGCAAAAGTCACAATTCAGTGTATATATATATATATATATATATATATATGCACAACTATAATCAGAAAGAAAATTGTTCTTCTAAATATTGTTTTATATATTTTCTATAACTGTTATATATCAAAATACTTTATTAGAAGATGTAGTATGATTACCAATGATACCAGGGGCCAAAATACGAAGATGTTAGCAACTATCGTTCACCGTAAGATCTTCAACAATGAGCAAAACCCGTACCACATTGCAAACTACATTTTCAATTTATAATGTAGGTTTAACAGTAACTAACAAAGATCAAAACTTGTGATATAATTTTTTATACCAGAGACAATGTAGCTTTGAAGTTTGTTAAAGTGATTATTTGCAGCTGATAACGCAAATGTACCTAAGATACAAGTGACTGTGTGAAATAATTCATCTAAGTTTGTTAGTCAGTATTTTATGAATTTGGTTTCAGGTAAACAAAATGATCTTCATTCCGATGTTTGTTATTTCTGTGATTGGACTATTTAACTATTGCAGTAAGTATTTCAAAAATACAAGAATAAGGTGATTGTAAAGAAAATTGCATCCACTGATATATGCTGACTAAGTGGAGATGTAATTTAAGTTTGATATTTCACTCCGTCCCCTATGGTTAGTCGCGTTTATTTTGCATATTTTGAAACCGTTTTTTTATGTCAATTTTACACCCAAAAATACGTCATATTATCTCTACATTTTAAATACTCAAAAGTTAGTGTAAGTGTTCCAGTTACAATAAAAACTTCGATTGTATGTTTTTTCACATCTTTGTGGACCTATAAGATAGAAACTTATTGTTTTTGATGTTTTCTAAACTGTTGCTATACATTATTTGCGATATCGTTTTCCTGCTTTAGGTATGTAAGAATTCGGAATAGTTAATGGACTTAACTTCTGCATATGTTTTCCTGAATTGAAAAATGAAAGTGAGAGTTTACACTTAATTTAGGTTTTACAGCATTCCAAACCTCCCACAAGCTTGACAGTAGCAGTAGGTAACATTCAGTTATGTAAATGGACGAGCTTAAGGATTTTGAAAGCAATTTGAGCATGTGGAATTGGATATAAATTACAATCAAATGATTTATGTAACTCTTTTACGAACTTATACTTTTATGGAGCAAAGCAAATTGAATTTCCAACATAAAATTACAAATGCACGTAAAATCCACATAAATACATATCGCAAAATATTAGATAATTTTACTTTAATTGCATTTTCTTAAAAAATGATTTGTTATTGACGCTGAAATCTTTGTTTTGTTATATTAAGTTCTCTAATCTTGCTTATTTTTTGTGTCATCAGATTGTTACGAAGTAGTGGGAAGATGTATCAAATTTGGAAAAGATGAGCAAATGTACACACTTATTGGAGGAGATCGTAAATGCATAAAAGAAAACGATTTCACATATTGTAGAGAATGGGCATGTCATCCTAAATGTTCAAGTTTTAATAATTGGCCTGGAATATGCGAACCATGTCCAGGAGGTAACAACAATAGTAATAGTTTAAACATATTTTATTTGCTAAATTAAAGCAAAATGGATTAGACACAAGTAAATCCTACTCATGAAGTCTTCTCCATAATACAATATAAATATATGCAATAATAATATGATGAGCATGCATGTAAAGCGAACAGTTTATAGAATATATTAATACGAGCTATAGGTAAAAAAAGAAGGGAATATTGAAACGTCATATAATTCTGTTGATGTGGGTGTTGATGATGATGTAGATGATGATGATGTTCCACGTCAGTATCAATAACGCTTTATGAAGGTACAAGAAATCTGTTTGACCTTTTGATGAAATTTTGAACATGTTTGAAAATTCGGATGTTTTGTTCATTCGAAATTTACAAATTTCCGAAAATTAATAGCTTAGTATCTAAAACAAAGTTTTCGGAAAGCCAATTAAGATTATTGAGTAAAGTTTTCCTACATGAGGAGTATTTTGAACAAACGAAAAAGTAATGATGAACATTCTCAATATCTGACCCACATTGACAAGAAGGACCATTTATAATGTTAGCTCGAAAAAGGTCATAGTTGAAGAATGAAGTGGAACATCGCAATTGAGTTAAAATAATATTCAATTTCCTCGGGCCGTAGAAATAATACGTTTCAACTTTACTTAGGAGATTATCATTTTTCAATTCTTTCTTAAATTTGGATATAGAGTCGACGCTGCGAATTTTTGGATCAAGCTTATTCCATTCACGTATTATGGAGGGAATACTAGTAATCGATACAGTAGTAAGGGAAAGTCTAGTAATAATAATAATAATAATAATAATAATAATAATAATAATAATAATAATTGCAGCGCTAATAAAACATTTCAATCAATAACCGCAAGGAAATTCAAACTCTTTTATTTTTATATTTGCTCCAGTTCAAGGAAAAAGGAATGTTTTTAGACAACTTAATTAATTAAGTGAAATAGGAACATATTTAAGGCCAAATATCAACTTGGTTATAGAGTTTAACTCCTTTTCTTACACATGATATTCATTAAATATTCTTCTACGACCAATTAATGTAATTTTGACGACGATTAACAGAAAGAGAGCTCAACAAACTATAGAAGATGTTTACAATATAAAAACAAGAAGATGTGGTATGATTGTCAATGAGACAATTATCCACCATACATCAACAGCAACATGTAGCGCTGAATATCGTTTCGTGGTTTTATGGAAAAAAGGAAAATTGTGAAAAATATTTTAAGTATATGATATACTAGTAGACTATTTGATATTCAATTTCCAGTAGGATTTGACAACTTTTAGAATTATGACCCTGTGGGAAAAATTGCACTACCTTTTTAATAGCAAAACTGCAGTTCTTACATTACTTAGCTGAATGTTAGACTTTTAAAAAAGTATCTATATAGTGAAAGCTCTAACTAGCCGACGGCTGAGCTATCCAGAGAAAAATGATTGGCAAAGTTGTCGGAATTACAAATGAATTGATTAAGCATATTGGGGTGCCAAAATGACGAGCTTATTTCTCCTAATACTAAGGTTTCGTTGTTAGAACTCCGATCAAAATACCTAATTTGTAAAACATTATATTTCTATGACCTTTTCTTCCACTTTGAAAACATTATTTTCCCAGAAGTAATTTTTTTTTAAATTCTAAATATTTTGTAACTTTAGCTTTACTTTTAATCATTAACATTGTTAACAATTTTCTTGGTTGTCTTTTAATGCTATTATTTTTCATTTAGCTTTTTTTTCATCAAGACTTGATAAGATCTTATTTCGACGCCATTATTGATATATTCACAGAGCTTTTTTGTTATATTTTGGTTTATTATTTTGTTAAGTTTTTTTTCGAGCTATTTTTCATGTTATGTATTTCAAATGTTAATATTAAACACTATGGTTTAAACAGTATTGTTCATACTTTATGTATTACTTTATCATTTATAGATACATGTGCTGATGTTGGACAAATTTTTGATAAAGGTGATTTCTTTAAATGTGCTGATAACGCCAACAACTGTCAATGTGGCAATAACAACAGGATAAAATCAACAAGGAAAAGTGCCAGTGTTAAAGAGATGTGTCTTGATAATCTTAGAAAGGCTGTCAAGCCATAAATGATTTTAAAACTAATGTGCATTATTCAAATCAATTTATAATATAAAAAAATAAAATATCAGTGCTTACGGTTTTCATGATACACACAATGGATTGCAGAAATTACCGAAAATATTGAACAGCGCACAGACCACACCAACCATGACAAAACTTGACATGTCGGACCCTTACTGATTTATTTTTGTTGCAATTTATCAATCAGGCAACTTTGAGAGAGCTTTGCAAAGTCGTGTTGTTTGCGTAGATAAGTGTGCTTTTTAAAGGTTTTGAAGATGTGGAGATATAAATAAGTGTGTAATTACATAATTCTCCATTTATTCCTCCTTTCAAACGATAGACACTTTCAAAGTTAACCATTAATCATTGTCCTACATTTTATTTCCCCATTAACTCAATTCACAATTTCCAGTGTTTGCTCTTTGATATTAGTTATGCTTATTTATACCACGCCACTTTCAACACTATTGGCTATTTTGTGGCGGTCAGTTTTTTAGGATTTTTTTTGTGGGAGAAGCCAGAGATAGTATTGCTAAAACGTTACAACACGTGAAAGGGAATGTACAAATCATGACATGATATATATGAAATATATAAATTTATCATTCAATGCATCTTGGCATCTTTTCATTTAACATTGTCATCAATAGTTCAGGAATCGATAAAACGGTGGGTGAAATTTTTACAAACCTTATCTGATCTTATCTGTACGGCCTAACATTAACAGTATATAAAAAAGTGTAGAATTGAAAATATAGCAGGCCCTCCTACAGTTAAGAATTTGAGAAATCTTTTAATAAATATAAATTAACATTTCCAGACGTCACCACTTGGCAGCAATCATTGACCGCTGGTCAATCAAACTGATCATCAGTGACTTGCAACGAATAACTAAAGGTGAAGAATATTCAGAATCGAAGAACGATAACTTTCTTACCCTTTACAAAACACAAGCGATCAAAGTTATTTTAGCATGGACGTCATGAATTTGTTTCCAGTTTTTTTTTAGTACAGGTAATTCAATTTTAAAGTTCCTAGCCGATATTTGAATATCTAAAAATCTGTCGCCCCACAGATATGAGAAGTCTACATCTGATAATTTAATCACTTCTCATAACAAGCCGTATATTTTATGACTTTGTTCGTTTATATTCTGTCCCTATAGTAACTGTTGTGTGGTCTTGAGGTGAATGATTCTTGGATGAGTGTGAAGAAGTAATGAAGGCGGCTATCGAAGTGAACATAACGTTTGAGAATGGTGAGATGCGGGAGAGTAGAGTATGAATAGTCAACGGACGTGTATCTGCTTAACTATGTAATTTTGGTAAGTGTATGTCGTCTTTTCATATCTGAGGGGTGTCAGCCCCGAATATATGAGACGACTACATCTGATTAACATAGAAGAAATTAATAAATATTTGTTCTAAAAAGAGCATTATTATAATATAAAACAGGAACAGTGTCGTTATCTCAGATTTTCCAGATGCAGTAACACTTTCAGAAGATTTTTGTAGATATGGATTTGAAATGAAATCTATAATATTGCGTCTATTTTTCTGTCATCAAATTGATAACTTATCACTGCTTTGTTATGATAATATGAATCGCTGTACTATAGTGTTTTTTTCTGGGTTAACTTCCAAAATCTGAAAGTTTTGCTGATAAATGATAACACTTCTATGTATATATATATATATGAACTGGTACATAATAAATATGTACACATGAAAACACTGATGACCAACACATTAAGAAGATATTACAGACAAACACTGACGAGCTTCTTTGACATGTATAATGGGGTCAAACGAATATGTTTAGGTCCAAAACCACCCTGCTTGATCTTTATCAATAGAATAACATAAGGTTCATAAAGAACGCAAATAAAAATCTTTACAGGAAAACATTTTTAAACGCCTTAATTCCGGTTACAAAGATAACAAAATCAAAACAAGTACATTTACAAATACAATAATAAACAATAACGTCTCATGATAGAAAGCTCTTAAGTACTTACATTGTAACGAATCAATGTCGAGAGTAAATCTGTAGACAATTTCAATTAATGCATAAAAAAAAACCAAATAAATAGATATAGCTGTTTAAAGTTAAAATGTGAATTGACTAAAATACCAAACTCAATGATTACACGTAAATATCGCAAATAGCTTTACATCGGAATTTCTCGAAACACTATTTTACAATTCTTTAAATGATAGGTTTCTGTAGTGTAAAAGGTTTTATAAAATGATTTGACGAATGGGTCCTTTTTAAAAAAAAAAACATACATGGTTATATCATCTGCACAGCATGATAAAAATACTGAAAAGGCCAAAGTAAGCGTGACGTCGTACGTGACTGCCTTGAGCATATAAATCCTATTTGTCGATGTGTTTAGATATGAAACAAAAATTTAATGATTAATACAGATAAAAGAATTCGGGGACACAATTTGCGTGGCAATAATTTTTATCATTTTTTAAGAAATAAAAAAGACAGTTTGAAGTGACAATATTCCATTTTTACGATATTAGTAAATACGTTCATTCTGCATACATTAGTACTAACTTGACGATATTAGTAATACGTTCATTCTACATACATTAATACTATCTTGACGATATTAGTAACACGTATTTATATTACATTGTACTAACGTGACAATATTGATAATGCGTGTATTCTATACATTTGTTCTAAGTGACATGAAAAAACTTTTTTTATGGGCCCAAAGGTGACCCTTTTGCATGTTAAATGTCTGCCTTTATCTAGTCGTTCCTTTTTCAAGTGGCAGTATGCCCGGTCGTCCGAATTTGACTAATCTATCCATTGCATTTATTTTCAATCTGTGCTCTTACTGAATATACAGGAAAAAATCGAGGGCGGATAATCGTCATTTAAATAAGTTATTATCAAACTTACATAATTAGTACATAATCCTACATCATACGAGACAGTTAACATGAGATGAAATAAAGTGTAACTTAAAGACATGTAGCAGGTAAATAAATCTGAAGTAACCGTGAGAAAACAAAGAGAAGATGGATAAAGAGATCATTCAGGGAATATTTGACATATAGGCTTTTAAAAAGGCTAGGGGTTCCTGACTTGGGACAGGCGCAAAATTGCGGTAGGGTTAAACATGTTTTGTGAGTTCTCTACCCCCCCCCCCCCCCCCCCCATACCTCTAGCACATAAGACCTTCATTTTAGGGACTGTCATAAAGATCTATAAATTAAGGAACATTTAGAAAAAAAACGGTCGAAAATATCTCTTTCCTTTTAAAAGTTGTGATATTTTTTCAGAAAAATGAAATTTTATGTTTTTACATTAAACATGCAAATTTCATACTGAAATATCTCGAAAAGTACATCGTGATGGTATGTTTTTCTTTACATATTTTGATTGTGCATATCAAATTGACTTTGCGTTTTTCCTGTTTAAGAATGAATTTTATGCGAGTCGTATCAGTAAACGAAATGATTATTCCTAAGGCTACCTTGTCTCACTTTCCAATGTTTACATTCTTTTCTTTTTAATAAATGAACATGCTTACCACTTGCGCAACCCATCTTTACTAAGGGTCAATTCAAATGTTGCATGAATAAGAATTCAACTGAGGTTGCAGTATTGACGTGCACGCCAATCATACATCAGCGATGTTTGTTTGCTTATTTTGCCGAAATTGAACCAAACTGACTGCTAATAGCGAAATATTATTACTTTATTCCGCCTTTATAAATGTTTGAAACAAACAAATCTAAATTAAGTTGTATTTGTCTAATTCGTAGATAATGGCCCTTTAAGTTTCGGTAAACAAACTATATATGATATCGCAAGTTCTTTAAACATAAAATAAAATCTAGTAGTAAGGCATGTGTTAGCAACTACATTTTTCAAAACGATTTTACAATTGTAGTTTTAGAAAAATTGTTAATTGCTCTTAGTTTCTTTCAACTTGTTCCTCGTCTAAAAGTTTACTTTTAGGGCTTAAAGTTTATTTTTAGAGCTTAAAATTTACCTTTAGAACTAATGCATGATAAATTTTCAATCGTGGTGCAATTAAAAAAACACGCAGACATCTTATACTTTCAGGTATTTCACATCCAATTTTTTATGGTAATATTCTATACAAAGCACAAAAATGTCGTCACTCACCTCAAAGTAAACCAAAGCTTTAAACAGACTTATTCAGAAGGGATATAGTTACGATACTGTTGTCAGGTCATTAAAGATGGCATATTTTGGAATTAATATTGATTCACTCAAAGGGTCTTTGCCTCGGAAATAAACAAATGTATTCTAAAACCAGTTGTTGGCATGATACGGGTTGAGTTCTTCTCGTATATTTTATGATGGTATTATACTAAACCCCTAACGGGAGGGATTGTGCTTGGTTTTTTTTATATGAAAAAGACATAATATTTCAATCAGTTGAATTGAGGTCTGGAGCTGGCATGTCAGTAACTGCTAGTAGTCTTTTGTTAATTTATACATCATTGTCATTTTGCTTAGTTTCTTCTGTTACCTATTCTGACATCGGACTCAGACTTCATTTAAATCGAGTTTTACTGTGCGTATTTCTGTGTGTTTGTTTATTCTACATTGGCTAGAGGTACAAGGTTGAGATCTCACAAAACATGTTTAACCCCGCCGCATTTTTGCGCCTGTCAGGAGCGTCTGGCCTTTGTTAGTCTTGTATGTTTTTTTAATTTTAGTTCATTTATATGTTTCGGAGTTTAGTGTGAACTCCATTTTCAATGAACTAGTACACATTTTTGTTTAGGGGCCAGCTGAAGCCCGCCTCCGGTTGCGGGATTTTCTCGCTGTGTTGAAGACCCATTGGTGGCCTTGTGCTGTTTTCTGCTCTTTGGTCGGGTTGTTGTCTCTTTGACACATTCCCCATGTCCATTCTCAATTTTATAATAATGTATCAATATAACGTTACTGATCAGTAATATAAATATCCCAGTACCTGATAAATATAGATTATAACATGGCATTTTTCATATCATACCCTTATCAGCCCTAGGTCATAATATTAGCCCGAGAGCCGATAGGCTCGAGGGATGATATTGACCATGGGCTGATAAGGGATCTGATGTGAAAAATGACATGTTATGATCTTTTTATCATATACTTCAATACTGTTGTTTTGAATGTCCCAGTTAAAATTCTGTTAATGTGTCTTATATGAAAAAGGACGAAATGTGATTTTTATATCATTGGTTCAATATATGGATACAGTCATGGTTGAAAATTTATTTTAAACAAGTTTAACATGAAACAAAATTATAACAACACATTTTCAATATATGAGTAGCCAGTTTGTACAATTTACAGTTTTATCGAGGGGTACAATTATACCATTATTTTCTATAAGTATATGATAATAAGTAATATTTGATCGGTCGATGATGAAACATGAAAATTACCTCTATCCGCATGCATTATGAATCTGATAAACATATTTTCTCAACAAATTATAATATATGATTTAACATTTAGAAAAAGACATCGTGAAATCCAGCGATAAGTTTGTGTAAGCGTAAGGTTTTTCCAGTTGTAAAGGTATTTTAAATCCTCAAAAGTAGTCGGATAGAATAACTTCGAAATCCCACAAATCATCCTTGTATAAATTGTTTTAAAAATATGCTCGCATCTGAAGGCGTCGGATATATTTTTTAAAGATAGTACTTGTTTGCCTTTGGTTAAAGGAGTTGTCCGTCTTTTTTTAACGATAGTACTTGTTTGCCTTTGGTTAATGGAGTTGTCCGTCGGACTTTAAAGAACTTGTTTGCCTTTGGTTAATGGAGTTGTCCGTCTTTCTTTTAAAGAACTTGTTTGCCTTTGGTTAATGGAGTTGTCCGTCTTTCTCTAAATATAGTACTTGTTTGCCTTTGGTTAATGGAGTTGTCCGTCTTTCTTTAAAGATAGTACTTGTTTGCCTTTGCTTAATGGAGTTGTCTGTCTTTCTTTGAGTGATTGTTTTACTGATTGATGGTGTTTAAAGCCACTTTCAGCACTCTTGGCTATATCGTGGCGGTCAGTTTTTAAATGTGGAGGAATACGGAGTGCCCGGAGAGAACCACCGACCTTCGGCTAGAAAAATGGCAATCATAGTCAATTTGGATCGAAGTCGAACGCACCTGCCTCTTTAACTTACTCGACAATAATATAGGAATATATATTTTTTGACAAATAATTCATATGCTTTGAATAAATGGTAGGTTTCTCTTAATAGTTCACAACGTGGGAGTATTTTTTCTCGTTATAATCAGCCCATTAACTTGAAAGTTTTTTACAATGAAAAGCGGAATGTGTTAATGTTTTTTCGATTATTTAATGATATTAGCTCTGAACATTTATTTAATTTTTCAAATGAAACTGTTGGATTTGATGAAATAAAACATATTTAAAACAAATTCCTTTGAAAGTTTTATTATATGTATCGAAATGTGTAACAAGAGTTTATTTACATCCACACAGGAAGGCCTCTGACAGAAAATGTGTTTGTGTAAAATCATTGTTATCAATAGCCAATGAAAAAACAAGTTAAGGTATTATTAACAAAATAACAAAATACAGGTTATGTTATATGATCCACGATTCTTGCCTATAAAAACAATTGACAGGGAAACATTTAAAAGAAAAAATAATTAACCAGGAAATATATGTACCCATACTTGTACTTTCAATATACAGGAAGTAATTTCACTAAAAAGGAAACAAATATAACGATCACATACCATATCATTCATCATATTTGCTGTTATTTACATGCTTAGTGCCAGCATAGATTAGACTAAACAAGTAAGTACATAATATCAACATTTTTCAGGTTATTTCTGTTTTTATGAATAAAATACCAGGAGATGTGAAGTCTAGCACTGTAGGTATATTAAAAATATAGCGCTGAAGATGTGCAGTCTAGCACTGTATATATATTAGAAATATAGCGGTGGAGATGTGAAGTCTAGTGCTGTCGATTTAAAGTCAAGCGATGTGGATTTCAAGTAAATCGCTGGAGATGTCAAGACTAGCGTTAGAGATTCAAAGTTCAGCGCTGATGATTAAAAAAAACTAAGGAGATGTGGTATGATTGCCAGTGAGACAACTATCCAACAAAGTTCAAATGAAGTGGAAGTAAGCAATTATAGGCAACCGTACTGCCTTCAACAGGTCAAGTATTACCAGGATTAAACACATTACCAATTTTAAAATTACACAAATTCTTGCAATCTTATAAATACTGGGACATTTTTTTCATATTTTATACTAGCATTGGTGCAATCATATCGCTGCAAGTGATCAAATGTTTTGATCCAACAAGATCTAAACCATTTGATTTTTAAGTACTAATTTCTGGTATTGTGATTTTTTCATTTCTAATTAATTAATTGTCGTGATTGTAGAAAACTGTAGTTAAAAAATAGTGACCTTCACAAAAAAATAGTGACCTTCACCAGTAGATTTACTGGTGCCAACAATTCTTTCGGTAAGGAAATGTTTTATGTTTTTTTATGAAATATTTAAAAATAAATTAGACGCTTTAAAATATCTATCGCTCATTTCAAATGTTTAATTGTAAAGGTACATTTCAATTTCTGCATGGAATTCGAAATTTCATAATTTTTATTGTTTTATGTGCACAAATCATGATATATGAAGACCTAACAGAAATATTTTTATTTTTGACAGGTAATTGTAAATTCCATAAGAACATGACACTGGGTGTCCAGTATACGACAAGGAAATCTATAGCAAAGGGCATGCTAGATATGGCTCTGTTACTGTCCAATGTTTCAAAAATGAAGAAAATGCTGTCTCTCGATTGCATTGACAGTGCCAAGTGTGTAACAGGAGTAGTATTTCTATCAATTTCAGTATGTTTACAAGTTGCAGTTGGTGTGATGCTGATTATTCTAGCAATTCGTGAACAGCACGCTGTAAAAGAGCAAGAACGAAAACTCAGAGATAAAAAGGAAGACAAATTGTTAAGTAGTGGTAGTAAAAGCGAACCACCGGAACCAAACTCCAATGACAGCAATAGTCATCGTGATCATCCCAAACTGAAAAAACAACTATCTCTGGGAGCGGAATCAACCACTTTAAGCAACGAAAAGCTAACGATGAGACTGAATACAGCCGTTCTTATTCTCGTTTTTATTATCGTTGTTTTAAATGTAATAATAGACGGTATGGACTTAAGTGACCCTCCACCAGGAGTTGAAAGTCCAGTTAAAAATGCATAATTGATTTCATGTTCTCATTTATGTTATGAGATGGACTTGACTGCGGAAATTGTTAACTTTTAAAAATAACTTTGTGTGCGTTAAAGCGGTTAGCCATTTCTTTACTTTGTGAGTTTGTATTGTAACAAATATTTGACAAAATGGTACCTGCATGACCAATTCGCGTAAAATTGAGGGAACTGTTCCAAATGACAATAAAGACCTGGTCTTATACGGGAACATACATTTTAGTCAGTTGATTGCCACTATCAATTCTTAAAAAGTAAAATAGAAAAACTTAAGTTTGTAAAACGTAGAACGTTCTGGATATATCTCGTTTTTAATTTTTATAAATCTCAAAGTGCATGTATATGAAACGGCAATGCCACCATTTAGAAAAAAGAACAAATGTATTGTTCGACTTCCAGACGTGTTTCTGAAAGAATCTCCATTAGTAACGTTACCGGAAGTTTGGACAACCAAAAAACGTTCGATAACACTAAAAACAATAGGCCTAAGTAGAACATATCAAAATATAAGGTTAACTTTTCCTAAGGAGTTGCAATGGTTAATTATAATCGTGCATTGCAGTTCTGTCCAAATTATTTCCAACAATTGGTCTAAGCAGTTTATCTACTGTATCACCAGCTGGTCAACACTGAGTTTGTGAGTTCGAAACCCCATATATGGCAGGTGCGCTCGAATCCAATCTTAATTGGCTAGAATTATCAATTTACTGCTGAAGATCGGTGGTTCTCGCCAGGCACTCCGGTTTCCTTTACCATTAAAACAGACCGCCACGATACTAGTATAGTAAATGGTGCTGAAAGTGACTTTAAACACCAACAGTAAATCTATCATGTTTAAAATGTAGATATGTATTATTACATTAGATAATCATCAAGTCCAGATTTTTATCAAAAGAGGTCCTCGAAATATGTTAAGTCACACTTTAAAAAAAATCGTATTTTACATCATAATTGTTTTTCGTTTATTGTTTTGTACATAAATAAGGCTGTCAGTTTCTTGTTTGATTGTTAATTGTTTGTTCTTGTGCTGTTACATCACTGTCCTATGATAGGGGGATTTAGCGCTCACGGACATGTTTAACCCCGCCACATTTTTTTTATGTCTGTCTCAATTCAAGTCAGGAGTCTGTAATTCAGGGGTCGTTGTTGATTGCTATCTAATTTTCTTTTGTTGCTTTAAACATTAATCAGGCCGTTTGTTTTCTTTTGAACTGTTTCCCATTTTGTCATGCTAGAACCTTTTATAGCTTACTACATGGAATGCGTTTTAATCATTGTTGAATGCTTTACAGTTATTTATATCCTCGTCCATTGGTCTTTAATTGATAGTTGTCTCTTTGGCAATCATACCACATCTCCTTATTTTATATGTGATGTGGTATGAATATGAACCCTGTTCTGTACTAGACTGACACACTAAGCTTGATTTTTAACGTGCTAGTTCACAAAATGAAAGTTTTCAGGAAGACATGTCACCCTATTCGAACACATCATTCAAACTCCGAACCGACCAACCTTAACTCGTAATCCTTAATCTGAGTGCAAGCAGCATCCCATAAAAGAACCTTAAAGTCATATATAAAACGAGTTTCTGGTAATTATAATGTTGAGGTAATTATTGTACCAATGCCAACATATATGATTATAAAACTAAGTTCTCTGTGTACGTTTTTTTTCACAATTTATTGCGACTCCAAACAGTATAATCGACAAAAAAAGATTTCATTCTACATGTATGATTGCTGATCGAGAAGTTTACCAGAAAATTATCTTCGGGTGTTGGTGGCAAAATTTACTGACCGTTACGTATTGATACACAATCAAAACAGAATCATGGAACACGCGAAAAATATGTGATGCTAAAGCGAAATATATTAGGGTTTTTTTTTATGTTTTCCTTGCGAATTAGAGTACGGGAAGATAATAATTCAATAGCATTACATTTCTGAAGATTTTGATGAAATAAAGGATTTTCTTTTATAAGAAAGTATATAATTATGTACATGTTTTTTTATAGTAACACTTTTATCTATAGATGCATTAAGGGCAAAATTCAAAACACGCATTAATTTACAAGACATGCACTAACCTTGAACTTTAACTTTCAAAATCATATGAAGACACAGCCACTGGTATGAAATATAATAGTTAATATTACAGAAAGGAGTTTTTAAACAGAAGTAATCACCATCAAGAAGATACTTGTGTTGAGATTTCATTAGCTACGAGTATCGTTATGGAATATCTGTGTCACAGAGGACTACATATATGTATTATTTGTCATAGCTGCGACACCGTCACTTTTCTCCAATGTGACATCATCGAGTGTAACTTGGTACCGGATTTTTACTCGCAATAAGCTACACGATTGGCACTACCTGTTTACCATCCAGGAGCACCTGAGTTCATATCCGGATTTCAATGGGTTTTGTGATGCTTAATCTGTCTGTATATAGTTTTGTAGATGAAAATTAAACCCTACCTATACAGCTTATACTTTCCAAAAATATGAACCAAGTCAGGAATACGATAGTTGTTTTCCAGTCGTTCCATTGATTGATATAGTCGAGTGCTTGATTCTGGCATTTTTATAGACTTTTCCCTCTTTGAATTTACCTTGGAGTTCATCATTTTTGTTTTAACAATTTTTTTTATAATAGATAGTTGGAGAAAAGTATCAATAAATTTTTTTTTTAATCATTCAAAAGCCCAATTGCTATCCAACTTTTACTAATTAGTGTTAAGAATAGCAACTGCTATAAAAAAAAATGCCTCCACCTTTATTCAAAATCTGAAAAATGCATGTGAAGTGCTTATTGCTTCCAATTTTGAGCTCAACTGTCCGTCCGTCCGTCGTCCGTCGTCATTAACTTTTACAAAAATCTTCTCCTCTGAAACTGCTGAGCCAAATTTAATCCAACTTGTCCACAATCATCGTTATGGTATCTAGTATATAAAATGTGTCTGATGACCCCGCCTGCTAACCAACATGACCGACATGGCTAAGAATTGAACATAGGGGTAAAATGCAAGTTTTGTGTATTATCTTGAAAACCGTTATGAAAAGAGAAAATCTGACAGGGGAAGAAATGTTCAGAATGTTGAGATCTATCTGCTGTCTATTTACTTTAAAACTGTCAGACGACTTCTTATAGGAGTTATTGCCCTTAAATGTCAAATTTTACCTTTTTTCTTTTTCTTTTTTTGACTATTATTTTTAAAACTATAATAGATAATAAGAAACTTTAATTATGAAAAATGATCAGACAGACAAGATCTACATATAAAATAAATGACTGAAATCGTCAGGCGACTCCTTATTTGAGTAATTGCCCTATGACCAATTTTACCCTTTTTTTCGTTTTTGATTAATAACTTACAAAAATCTTCTCCTCTGAAACTACTGGGCCAAATTTAACCAAACTTGTCTACAATCATTATTAGGGTTTATAGTTTTGGAAATGTGTCCGATAACCCCGTCTGCTAATAAACATGGCCGACATGGCTAAAAATAGAACATAGTGGTAAAATGCAAGTTTTGTCTATTATCTTGAAAACCGTTATGAAAAGAGAAAATCTGACAGGGGTAAAAATGTTCAGAATGTTAAGACCTACCTACTGTCTATTTATTTCAAAACTGTAAGACGACTGATTATTTTGAAAAATGTAATAATAGAAAGAATATTTAATTAAGAAAAGTGATCGGCAAGACAAGATCTGCTAATTAGCCAACATGGCTGAAATCGTCAGGCGACTCCTTCTTGGAGTTATTGCTCACTAATAACGATTTTTTACAACTTTTTTGCGTTTTTGCCTTATATCTTAAAAACTGTAATAGATAGATGGAAACTTTAAAGGGTAAAATTTATTAACAAGACAGGATCTACAATAAGTAATCATGGCTGAAATCTTCAGTCGACTCGTGATTGGAGTTATGATTTTTACCACTTTTTTTTTAGTTTTTTCCTATAGATAGAAATTTTTAAAAAGCAAAAACGATCAGCAGGACAAGATCTACAAAAAGTCAGCATGACTGAAATTGTCAGTTAACTTTTTATAAAGTTATAGCCCTTTCATGATGATTTTTACCAAAAAAGTGGCCATTGTTGAAGATGCAGTTGAGCGACACAGGCTCTTTAGAGCCTTTAGTTTGATCATTGAAACCTTCATAGTGTTCAATAATGGTTATTGAAGATACCTACTATCATAAAACATGGTTATTACCATTACCAAGAATGTAAAATGAGACTCTATAATTCAGTTAAAATGTGTGATAAATATTATGCATCGCCGATTGTTACCAAATCTTTGGTATCTGCCCACCACGAATATGTCCGTCGTTTTGTGGCCACAATCCCGTCCTCTTGATATGACCGAATGATTCTGATCACCAGATGAGATTCCATTTAACACACGACTGGTGCTACTAGTGAAGCAAGAACTACTTATCATTCTGAAACACCTGAGGTTGCCCTCGTTTTTGTGGGATCCGTATGGGTTAATCTTTACTATCCTGTTTTGTGGACTGTTATTTGTGTGTTTGTATTAATTTTTGGCCATGTCATCTTTTTTTGCTAATGGCTTCTGGTTATTCCCTAGGAATTTTCTACCTGTTTTATTTTTGTCACATTTTGTCAATATCAGATCATATCAAATTCAAAACATAGAGTTTACTTTAACATTGATGTAAGCAGTCGATTTAAGCACCATATCATACTTTTAGCATTACTGTTAAAATATTCGGAATTTCCTTTTATATAAATTCAAAGTACATTTCTCTATTTAATTTTCAATTTTATTCTCTGCATTGCATCCACTTTTATTTCCTTTATAATCATATGTCTTCATGAATAGGTAAAAATGGCGTATTTTTTTTTATACTTGTAACCTCTACACCAATTGAAACTAAATGGCTAAAACAACAAATTAACTTAACAGAAGGAATATGTATTTTTAAAATGTAGGAATAACAGGAAGACACCATATGGTTTATGAGAATAAAGATTATTCATTCGCTTTACATCTACGTATTTGAATTCATTATAAGACAATCTATATATATACATGTATATTCAGGTTCATTTTGGTCAAGTGATTCCAGAAACATTAAAGTTACTCAATCCAATAAGGGAGCAACCATTTAACTTCAAGGGGGTGGGGGGGGGGGGAGGGAGGGTATGGTTTTTGAAGTTAAATGGTCGTTCCCTAAGTCTGTTTGTTTTGAATGAATATTGATTAATCTAAACCAACATATGTTATAAATACTCCTATCCATCTGATAGA